CCACACCCACACCCACACCCACACCCACACCCACACCCACACCCACACCCACACCCGCACCCACACCCACACTCCCTCATAACTTCAATAATTTTCCACGAAATTTTTACCAGAGATAAAGCTTAAAAAACTGTGATCGCAAGCATCAACCCGAGCTCTATCGACTGATATAGTATGGAGTTATGATTCAAACATTAGTTTCACCTCTGTTTACTTATTAATCAATATTCAGTTTTTATGAAAGACATTCGAGATACTAGAGGTCTTCTTTGATCTTTAGGTTGTTTCGTAAGTTGTTACAGGAATACGCAGTGGGCATTTATTGCTCAATAAAGGCATCTCTGGAGTATAGTAGACTAATATTAACGAGCTAAGAAACAACTAAGAGATTAAACAAGTCTTCTAGCATCGCGATTGTTTTTCCATAAAAACTGTGAATATTGATTTACAAGTAAACAGACGTGAAACTAATGTTTGAATCATAACTCCATACTATATCAGTCGATAGAGCTCGGGTTGGTGCTTGCGATCACAGTTTTTTGTGAAACACGATCTGAAAGGAGTGTTGAAGTGTTGGGGGGTAGAAATTTGGACCCCTCTTCCCCCCACAGACCGTGACAGACACTCACGTGACCCATCACAGACCGTGACAGACATCTTAATCAATTAATTAATTACTATTTAATCAATTAATTAATTAGCTTTTAATTAGCTAATTAATCGTCACAGACCGTGACAGACAGGCTTTGGACCCATCACAGACCGTGACACACAGGGTTTGGACCCATCACAGACCGTGAGAGACAGGGTTTGGACCCATCACAGACCGTGACAGACAGGGTTTGGACCCATCACAGACTGTGACAGACAGGGTTTGGACCCATCACAGACCGTGACAGACAGGATTTGGACCCATCACAGACCGTGACAGACAAGCTTTAGATCCATCACAGAGCGTGACAGACAGGCTTTGCACCCATCACAGACGGTGTCAGATAGGCTTTGGACCCATCACAGACCGTGACAGACAGGGTTTGGACCCATCACAGACCGTGATAGAAAGGCTTTGGACCCATCACAGACTGTGACAGACAGGCTTTGGACCCATCACAGACTGTGACAGAGAAACTGTAGTTCTAAACCATCAGATAAACGGTTAGCTATAAATGTATTGCAAAGAAATGGAACAAAACGATTTCCATTTAATTAGTAACAACAGATCCATCGTGTTTCACATTTTTAATCCCGCAAGGGATTGCGCTAACAGCTTTTAAGCTCTATCTCTGGTAAAAATTTCGTGAAAAATTATTGAAGTTATGAGAAAGTATCATACATCCAGGGACTTATGGCCAGTAGTGTAGATAGCATACTTGCTTCTTAATCATCCACACTATAACTTCGATAACGTGCTTTAAAATCGCTTTCATGCTTCACGAATTAGAAAAAACATTGTTAGGCCGGTTATTTATGACGTGCCGCACATATTGATAGACAAAAATGCAATTCATTGTCTTTACAAGAAGAGGACGGTATTTTCAACTATAAACATTCGATCTTCAAAGAAAAGCTTTTAAATACAGTGAATGTTATGAACATAACGACTTTTCCGGTTTGAGAATTGTCAATTCATCGTTAAAAATCATGAAAATTAATTGTTTCGGGTTACTTCTAAGTTTTACTTCATGAGGATCGAAAGTCCCATAGACTTTTATTATGAATTTCGAATTGTATTCTTGACTGATGTATGAAATATGAATGCTCGGTAAGCAAAGACTATAGTAAATCATATAGTTTTTAGAAACTATAAACATATTTAAATCAGCGCGCAACTCCGAAAAAATAAACACCGCGATCATAGAATGGTCAAAATGGTTTATGAATGAATTCATATGCATTTTAATGATCGTTTCTTCATTATTCACTTGACAGGAGGATTCTCGTTGCCTGTTCTCAATGGGTTAAGCACTAGAAAATATCTAAATAATGACTCGAGTGGAGAAAATTGTTTCTAACAAGAAGTAGAAGGCGTAAATATAATTTTATTTAGACAACATAAAACGATAAAACAAACAATTCTGCACAAAATGAAACGTGCTCGAGTTCTCTACCATGTTTTTGGCTGAGATATAGCAATTTGATTGAAGACCCTAAATTAGTTTTTCAACGATGAATAATAAAAAACACACTTCACTAGTTTCTGGCATACCGTTCTATCTGAATCAGAAAATACTGTCAAAAACTCTTTCACGTCTTATTTTGTAAAGAATTGCTTGCCCTACCTTCATAAATAGCCCAAACAAAATTATGTTTACGTCTTCTAGATGCTGAAGAACTTAGATTTTGATTGTCTGGAGATCTTACCTTTGGGAATTTAATAATGACTATTAACCTGGTAAATTCTTGTTAGAAACAATTTTATCCATTTGAATCAATATATGGTTGAATTCTAGCGCTTAAGTCAGTGGCAAAAAAATAGAAAACAAACCTTGTTGAATAATTTTGATACTCACTGTATGATTTCGAGTATACCAGAGTTCACTTCAACTTTATTGCTTCTAGAAAACCTGCCGTCAATCTCGATGAAAAACCCATATCACAATGGAACAAGGACGATGTTGCTCAATGGTTTCAACAGAATAAAATTATGCCTGAACTGTATAAATTATATCAATTTGAAGATGGACCTGAACTGCTAACTTATGCAGCAACTATTTTAGATGATAATGTATTGAAATCAGAACAGCAACTCTATTCTCAAGCGTATTCACAAGCAAATAAGGGTAAAGTATTGTTAACACCACCATTTTCACGATTCATGAACGCTTTACGAAAATTGCACAATGATGTTGAATTGAAAATGCAAAAATCAACAATAGTAGTGGAACCAATTATAATGAATACTGGTAGTAGTGGTTGTGGTAAGCCTACAGCGAGAAATATTTCACGTATACCAAGAAGAAGTTCAATAACGAGGCCACAAGACTAATAGAATGTCTTAATCACAAGCTAATTCTAGAACTACAAAAGTACATATTCTTTTGACTAGTGTGACCCTTTCAAATTTGTATTATGAAACTCGAACAGTTTTTCAATCTTGCGCCACCTAACGTTTACTTTTTATCTATTCACAAAAAAGCTGAGTGTGGGTGTGGGTATGGGTGAAGTGAGTGTAGGTGAAGTGGATGTGAGTGAGTGTAAGTGTGGGTGTGGGTATCGATGTCGGTGTCGGTTTGTGAGTGTGGATAACTACACTCACACCCACACTTTCTGCACTTAATCAACTATCCTATTCTGATGTACTGTGGGTGTGGGTGTAAGTGGGTGTGGGTGTGGGTGGGTGTGGGTGTGAGTGTGGGTGTGGGTGTGAGTGTGGGTGTGGGTGTGGATGTGGATGTGGGTGTGGGTGTCTTTCCTGCTATCAGCACCCACACCCACACCCATCGAGAAATTAAAAGGTATATGGGATTATGTTGATGGTGAGAATTTTGATGAATACTTAAAGAAAACGGGTAAGACAGTGAAGACTAATAGTTGTAGTTATCTAACCAAATATTTTTATTGCTACTTTCTAGATATTTCATGGGTAGTGTGTCAAGCTGCAAAAGCTGTAAAGGTGGAAAAAATGATTATCAGTGTCAATGATAATGGTCGATGGACATTGAAATCAGAATCAACATTTAAAAATACAGCTTATGAATTCACACCGGGTATTGAATTTCATGAAATACGTGTCGATGCGGCGGAAGTTAAAGTAAATGTGAAAATCTAGCGTAACGATGGATCTTTTCTCGGTTATAAGAGGTTTTTTCTAATGAGACTTCTATCACTACAGGAACCATATTGATATCAGATATTTCATAGAATGATCTCTTCTCATTTCTATAAAAATGTAGATTTGCTAAAGATCTATTATTGCACGAAGAAACCGCCCGTTTTAGCTGAAACTGTCGCCACATTCTAGTAGTTATGAGACCTATTCAGTCAAAACCAAAATTCGTCGTTGATCCAATTATCTTCATCTCAAATTAAAGAGGCCTCCAATAAGTAAGCAGAAGATCATCTCTTAACAACCTTCAGCATCCATTCTCATATTTTGGACTAATTATACAGAAACATCATAGAGAATCTCCAATAAGGGTGTGTGGGTGTGGGTGTGGGGTGTGGGTGGGTGTGG